CCGCTACCGAGTCGAAGATATCATCCCCCGTCCATGTACTGGGTATAGGCGTGCACGTAAACATGGAGCCGTTGTGCTTCACAACTGACAAATGGGCCGCGCGTGGCTTGAACCACCGCGGCAGTGGACATATGCTGCTACCCCGCTATCCACGGGATAGATCACCTTGAAGTAAGAAGCCTCCAAGAGCGCCCCAAGAGAGCTGACGCCGTACTCGTTTTTTTGCATGGCCTCCACGACGGCCTCACGGAGGCCTCAAGGCCCCCCGAAATTGGCCCTAAGAAAGCCCCAGGACTCCCGAAAGAAGTCCAGACGGCCCCGAGAGAGTCCCACGAAGAACCCTAAGAGGGCCTCAGTAAAACTACAGAGGGCTCTGGGAGTCTGCCAAGAGGCTCTCCCAACAAAGGTCCGCGAAGGCCACATCCTTCTCCTCCTCCTCCTCCTCCTCCTCCTCCTCCTCCTCCTCCTCCTCCTCCTCCTCCTCCCCCCCCTGGGATGGCTCCGGGAGGCATCTAAATTAGCTCGCAAAGTGACTCGCCTGGGTATCGGTTCTCGATGGGCTGGTGGGGATGCGAGAAGCGTCAAGAATTCCTTCACCGAAGCCCTTCCCTCCGCATCACCCTACTTCTCAACCGCCTCCTGCCCCGCCTCCTCCTCCCCCCCCTTTCCCGCCTCCGCGTCCTCTTCCGCCTCGTCCTCCTCCTCCTCCTCCTCCTCCTCCTCCTCCTTCTCCTTCTTCTTCCGCCGCCTTCCAAAGCCCACCAGCCATCTGGGCGTAGGTGGTCTAACGAGTTCTGTCGCTCCTCTTCCAAAACCCTATCTTCCCTTCGGGGAGGGGTGCCCTGCCCCTCCCCTTCCTGAGTTTTTTTTTTTTTTTTCGGCGGGGGGCCCACGGTGTCAAAGGGCTAGTTTTCGCACAACGTAGCTCCAAGAGGGCCTCCGATGCTCCAAGATGGCCTCCTGGCTGGCTCCAGATAGCGCAAGATCGCTCAAGATAACCTCCACCAAGGATCCAACAAAAGGCCTCAAGAGGGCCACGAGACGGATCCAAGTGCTCTCGGAGCCTTCGGACCGCCCCAAAATGGCAAATTCCTTCAAACATCTGTGGACGGCAGTGAATATTGCCTTCTCGCCTTTTCGCTTGCGGTGCGAATTTAAGGTCGCTTCGAGATGGCCCAAGACAGACCCAAGAGGGGCCAAACAGGCCCCCCAGACGGCCCCAAAAGCGCACACGAGCGCCGCAAGAGGGCACCAAAGGGGCCCCAAGAGGCGGTGTTGAGGGCCCCAGAGAAGAGAGGCACATCTAGGACCCCCCTCCTTTGATCGATGGCCTCCAAGATGGTCTCGAGAGGCCCTCCCGGGCTCACATGAGGACCCCAAACGGGCTCCAAGAGAGCCCCCAAAGCGCCCAAGAGCCCCCCTTAAGAGCGCCCCACGGTGGCCCCAAGAGGCGGTGTGCCTCCTCCTCCTCCTCCTCCTCCTCCTCTTTCTCCTCCTCCTCCTCCTCCTCCTCCTCCTCCTCCTCACTCACTCACTCACTCACTCACTCATTCACTCACTCACTGACTCAATCACTCACTCACTCAAGGGCCGGTTTGGAAAAGGTGTCGCCACTAACCGAAAGGGGGGATTTCTTGGAAGAGAGGGAGACACGACGGACGGGGACGGCATGGGAGCAAAGCGGCAGGAGGAGGAGCGGACAGAGCGAGGAGAGGAACGAGGGGAAAGGAGGGCGAGGAGAAGAAGCGAGAGGGGACAGGGGGAAGCAGCAGGCACGAGGGGGAGGAGACGAGGGAAAGGTCCCAACGATTCACCGAACACCCCGAGCGCCCCCCCCAACTGAAAATGCGGGAAGCCCGTACTACGTACTGTGCTTCGGGCGCGTCGGCACCTCGCGCGGCGCAGCGAAAGGCGAGGATGGAGGAGGATGAGGAGGATCGGCGGAAACACATGGGGGGGCGCTAGAGGGGGTCGGTCAAAAGCTGGGGCCTATGTATCGTGGAAGCGTCGTTGTGTCCGTGTTCCTCCCCATGCTTTAATCCCAAACCTAAGCCCATCCCATCCCTGGCTGCCCCGCGGGCGCCCGGCAGCAATCGGAGGCGGCGGTTGTAAGCGAGGCGTGGAAGTGACGCACGATGGACCTGGTAGCGGGCACGGGACAAGGGGCTGGATCTGAAAAGAAGCGAGCCAGAGTCGACAAATTCGTGCTCATGTCGTCTCGCGTCGTTGCAGTGCTATGCAGCGGGGGCCGTGCACGTCGCACTCCTGCTGCTGTGCCAGAAACAGCGGCGATACTCCCTGGAGCCGTGGCTCTTCTCTGGGGGCGAAGCGCGGAAGCTGGATGACTGCGGGGCGCTGTCTATCCGGCGCAGCGCCTGTGCTGCGCTTGCACCGCGCGAGGGGTTTGGCGGTTCACCCCTGTAACCTCCAGGCCCCGAACAGTGCAAGCCGAGAAGCTGTCTCATGACTGTCGTGGGTCCGCCGGTGCTTTTCGGGCGTTCTTTTCGGGTTTAGCACCGCAGCCCTCTTGACCAGGCAGGCAAAGGGTTGGTCGATGCGAGGCAGAAGCAGGAGCGGAGAGCGAAGAAAAAGGCGCGGTGACTCCGTCGGGCATCGCGCGCCACGGAGGAAGCCTCTCACTGGCGCGATAACTCTCACGGGCTCATCTGCCCTCATTCGAGCATGATCCGGTGGAGATGGCGGCCCGACTGGGGGGGGGGCAATCCCTCCGTGTACAAGTAGCTCCTGGTGCCCCTGGTGTCATTGGCATCTGAATCCGGCGTGAGGAGCTTGGTGCGATGATGTCATCGGCCTCGAGAACGTCTTTCACGCTGTTGCCGGCGCCCACGCAAGTAGAGTGAGGCCCGTCTTGGGTGGGCCAGTCCCGCCGTGTACGAGTAGATCTGGGCGTCGTAGGCGTCGTTGAACTCTGCGGTCTGCGCAAAGAACTTGGTATGACGACGTCATTGTCCTTTGGCTTATCGCGATGCTTCCAAGATCGTCGGCGCCCCCGTCGGTGGTCTGCGGCCCCTCTGGAGGGAGCCAGTCCCGCCGCGTGCTCGTAGGGGCGGGGGCGGGAGGCGCCATTGACAAAAGTGATGCACAAGAAGAGCTTACTGTGACAGTATTACTCTCTCTGGTGGGCGCGAGCGCGTCCTCTGCGTCGTCATTCGGGTCGCTCATCGGGCGGTGGGGGTACGCTAGGTCCCCGAAGATGTTGTAACGCAGTTCTGGATGGTCGTCGTAGTGTCCGACGACGGTAGAACTTCCCTCGCGAGGTCCATCTTTCTGACATGAAGGAAAAAATCCCAGTGCGGCCAGCGGCGAGGGACAGCCGCTGAAGCAATTGTTGGTGGGTGTAGGGCTGGTGCATGCTGGGGATCTGGACGACGATGTATTCGGTCCTGACTTCGACGTCGGGCCTGCTCCGTAGCGTTGCCTCGCATGCCTCGGGACGACGGCGCCTGGCGCCTGGCTAGGCGCCGCGCGGTGGTGAGGCCATGTACGGCAGCCTCCTCCATGCGCTGCGAGCTATTCCTCCATGCGCTTGCGGGGCGCCTCACTGGCGGGCAGCCACCCGTGGTGCCGTTTTTGGCGGTATGCTGGCTCTGGTCCTTGACGGTCATGGCGAAATCCGCGTGAGCAGGCGAGGCGAGAGAAATGAATATGGTAAGATGTGAAAGTGTGGGAAGAGAAAGGGATGTGCAGGAGAAACGCGGGTTCGATAAACCGCGCTGGGCGCGGCCTCGGCGCCGACCTGTTCGGCAACGGGGAAGGGCCCAGGCCCCGACGCCTCCTCCTCCTCCTCTTCTCCTCCTCTCGCCCCCGCGCGGGCCCCAGGGATGGCCCGAAGAGGCCCTCCAAGGCCACCCCCTTGCTCCCAGAGATCTCTCTGTTCATCCTGGTTGCCCGCTTTGCTTCACTATATGTGTCTCTTCATCCCTTTTCCCGTCAACTCTCATTTGCATTTTTTCTGAACGGGCTGGTGGGGATACGCGAAGCGTGAATATATGTTCCTCGTCCTCCTCCCCCCGTGCAGCACCATCAGCATCACCATCGCCAACAACACCACCACCACCGTCACCATCAACACCACCACTACAATCACCATCATCACCCTCGCCATCACCATCACCATCGCCATCGTCATCAGCATCATCATCATCATCATCATCATCATCATCATCATCATCATCATCATCATCATGATCATCATCATCATCATCAGCATCAGCATCAGCATCAGCATCAGCATCAGCATCATCAGCATCAGCATCATAATCAGCATCAGCAGCATCATCATCATCAGCAGCATCAACAGCATCAGCATCAGCATCAGCATCATGATCAGCATCAGCATCAGCATCATCATCAGCATCATCATCATCACCATCACCATCATCACCATCATCACCATCATCACCATCATCATCATCATCATCACCATCACCATCACCATCACCATCACCATCACCATCACCATCACCATCACCATCATCATCATCATCATCAGCAGCAGCAGCAGCAGCATCAGCATCATCAGCATAATCATCATCAGCATCATCAGCATCTTCATCTCCATCGTTATCACCCTGGATCTTCTCCCATCGACACGTACATGCCCCCTTGCGCGACCTTAATCAGCATCCTGCCGCCTTCGTCTTCCTCCTCCTGCTCCTCCTACACTTCTGCTCATTGTTTCCCCTGCTCCCTCCTTTCCCTTCCCGCCTCCTTCTGCCTCCTTCTGCCTCCTCCTCCTCCTCCTCCTCCTCTGCTCCTCCTCCTCCTCCTCCTCCTCCTACTCCTCCTCCTCCTCCTCCTCCTCCCTGCAGCTGCTCCCTCCTCGTCTTGCTCCGCTCCCCCTGCCGAAGCCATGCAGCGCGCGCAGTGATGGCACCGGTGGGCCCCCGGCCCCGCCCCCGGCCGGACCCCCCCTCGCCGGGGAGCCCCGCCCTGGCCGCGGCGGGTGCCGCGGGCGGCTCGCGGCGGCGGCGGGGCACCGCACAGGTCGGCCGCCGCCCGCACGCGCTGCAGCGCCGCCTGCGCGGGCTCTCCCCGGCGGCCCCCCCCCTCCTCGCTCCGCGGGTCGGCCACGGCGCCGCGCGCCGCCAGAGCTCTCGCGCCCGGAAGGATCCGCCAACCTTCTGGACGCGGGTGCCTTGGCCAGCGCACGTCACGAGCGGGAGCGAACCTCGCCGTTCTGGCCCCGCGCAGGAGCAGTCCTCACCGCGCCAGCCTCACCTCCCCCTCCCCATATCCGCTCTCTCCCCTGCCCTTCTCGCTGCCTGGTCGGGAGACGAGGTGTCCGTCGCACGCTGCCGTTGGCAGCCCGTCAGCGTGCTGCTCCCTCGTCGTTGTCGGAAGGCCTGGCGTGTTCTTCCACACTGGCACGCTGATGGGTTGCCCACGGCGGCGTGTCATTGACACTGCGTCTGCTCCCCGAGTTGGCATCGCCCCCCAAGTCCGACCCCGCGCCCAGACCTCCCCGCTCCTCCCAAGAGGCGGCAGCAACAGCAAGAGGCGGGGGGGAGCCTTGCCATCGGGCTGCGCCGTGACGTTCAGCAGCGCGTAGGGTCTCAGCGGCCGCCCCTCTGGGCACGGCGGCGAGCCGGCGGAGGTGTCGCACCACACCTCCGCTCCCAGACGCGCGGTTTGGGGGGTAATGACGACGACGACCACCACCACCACGACGACGACAATGAGAGCAAGGACGAGTAAAAAGGAGGAGGGGGCAACGAGTAAAAGGAAAAGGAAAAAGAGAAAAAGGAGGGTGGAGGAAAAAAAAAAAAAGAGGAGGCATGAGGTCGAGGGAGGAGGCCAGAAGTGGACAAACAGGAACTCTGCACTGGCCTTAACCGCACACATGCGCAACACGACGGTGGTTGAGAGAAGCACGCACGGAGAAACCATGGTGGAGGAACCACCGAGATTTCCAGTGCCATCACCTAAATGTTCATGCTCTCGCCGTTGCGGGCTGCGTTAATCTCTCCCGAAGCACGGAGAAACCATGGTGGAGGAACCACCGAGATTTCCAGTGCCATCACCTAAATGTTCATGCTCTCGCCGTTGCGGGCTGCGTTAATCTCTCCCGAACACGATGTTGTTCAATATGTTGTACCGTCTACCCGTTTTGCTTCCAATGGGCCCTTGGAACTTCAAGATGGCTCCATCATGGCGCAAGACGGCCCCCAAAGGGGCCCAATAGTGGCCCAATACTGCCCCAAGAGCGCCCAAGAGCGCCTCAAGAGGGCCTCACGAAGCTGATTTTACAGCTCCGACGGGGGGGGGGGGGGGGGGGGCGAAATTGACGCCTCACTTTGTTGTTTGACCGATGGCTTCCAGGATGGCCCCAAAAGGGCGTCCACAGCCTTCAGCAGGCCCCTGGGGGGGGGTCCCAAGAGTACCCCAATCCCAAGTTGGCTCCAAAAGACGACCACGGGTGACCGAGAAATCTCCAAAATGGCCCCACGAGGCCTACCAGACGCTCCCAAGGCAAACGATCTGTCAAGGTCTTGACGGTTAGTCCTGTCGCCGTCGTCGTCGTCGTCGTCGTCGTCGTCGTCGCCGTCGCCATCGCTGTCGCCGTCGCATTATTCCTCCACGTTTCCCCGAAAACCCCCGGAGACGGGTGCGGTACATACACCGCTGGACCGCATGCTGCTGCACAGCCCTCAATTGGGAAACTCGCTTGGCGTCTGTTTTTGGCTGGGCTGGTGGGGGGGTACCCGAAGCGTCGCAAAATGATGTTGCTCGTGTTCTTGCACTTGTTTCTGCCATATCGATGCAGGAATACGCGACGGCGCCCGCTCGTCTACGCTGGGATAACCAAAACGAGACGCAGCAGGAGGATGAGCAGGATGAGGGCGCGAGGGACGAGGCGGCGAAGAAAAAAGGACAACGGGACAGGGAGATCTGAAGAGAGGTCGGTGGGAAAGGGTGGACAACTGGCACCATTGTGCAGCTTACAACCGACAATCTTCTATTATCGGCCCCGCTGACTGGACAACCATCGGCCCTCCCAGGGGATCCCAAGACGACGGGCCGACGTCCCCCAGTCCGCCGTCCAAGGGCGGACGGGCGAAAAAGGAGGATGCACGGACACGGTGAACATGATGAAAACTCACGCGCTGGCGGGGGGCGCAAGGCGATAGCGAGCGCCGACCTCTGCCTGGACCGCCGCGCCAAGCACACCGCCACCCTCATGTTGGGGACTCTCGCAGGCCACTCTGTGCCGCGGCAGCAGGACGAGGTCACCCCTCCGTGAAAGCATGACGGTTGCATTTCTCGCGCTGGGCCGCGCTGCCATCGTCAGCGCTGTTAGCGGCCTCATCCCACTCAGCCGCAAGAGCCGCCGTCGCCCCTGAAACCACCCACGTCCAACCATGCAGCGCGCGAGTGGCAGAAAACACGCGGTGGATTTTTTCGCGTGGCCAACGCGAGAAGCAGCCGCGCGCCTCGCGCTATGCTCTCCTGTTCCTGTATCCGCGCGCATCGGGATCCCATCGCTCTGAGCAAATATTGCATCTGGGACCCCGCCAGCAGAGAAATCTGGAAAACTGCCAGCAACACGGCCTTCAGGATCTCTTGCACCTTGACGTCGACGAGAAAAATCGACGATGTCCTCGTCGCGCTTGCGTTCGACGGGGGCCTGCCGGAACGCGCTGTCCTTCATATTTCCGCGAAGGCCGTCCATCGACATTATCTGATCATGCTGAGGCATTGTGCTTTCGGCGGCCCTCTGGCTATGGCATAGCCAGAGGGCCGCCGATAGCCTGGGCGGGGGCATAGCCGCTGCGCCCCCGCTCTTGACATGACCGAGCGCCGCCTGGAAACCCACCGACCAAACATCTGCGTGGCAGGCAAGGGGCGCCCAGCTCGCGCCACGCGAGCGGCGCCCGTGACCCTCGCCGAATGCTGCGACCCCCCTCGAGCGAGATGTCAGCAGGAACCAGTGCCGCTTGGTAGCGCTCGACCACAGCTGCATCGGCTCGTCGCTGCCACGCAAAAGAACTGTATAGGCGCGGCGCGGCGCGACGTCGGATGACTCTATGTACTTTTCCGGTCGCGCGCCCAGCACGGCAGCGGTTGCGAGCGCGACGCCGACCCGCCCCCGCGCGACGTCATGCCACCTGCTCGCGTTGCTGGCAGGCGCAAGCGGCAATGCCTTTATCAATCATGGCAACGATGCCCTTCACCTACTGGAGTTTCACCTCCTAGGCGTTTTCTGATCAAGCCCCGTGTCTGAGGCGATTCACGATGGCGAACGCGGCCAGCACCCAGCACCGCGTCATTTTGCACGGTTTGGCCTCGACTGGGAGCTATGGGGGCGACGAGTTCCCCCCTGCACCCCGAAGACCACTTCTCGGGCATGGCGAACTTTTCAATGGAGGCAAAGAATATAACGATGCCAAGTTCTCGGCGGCCACAAACTCGTGCGTCACAAACTCCTACACGCGCGAACGTGAGCGACTTTGATGCTGAGACTTTTGTGGCCGACGAGGACTAACTCCCGGTGGAAGCAAAGACCATGCTCGGGCTCTCCGACGACGGTGGCGACTCCGACGCCAGCAGCTACTCCAGCACGCCTGCGTTCACCTTGGACGAGGCAGGGCTGGCCGAAGCAAGGGCCATGCTCGGGCTCGACGACGAAGACGACTCGTCCGAAAACGGCAGCGACACAAGGGCCATCCCATGAGAGTAGCATGGGCCGACCTACTAGATTTCGAAAGCGATTGCGGCCCTGGGCGGGAAAAGCCGCGCTCGCACGACTGGTCCCGCGCGGCACCTCGAGCCGCGCCCGCGCCGACGGGGCGGCCAGTTCCGAAGCGCGGCAAACATCCATGAGGCGGCAACAGCGGCGCGGGCGCCGGCCCGGCCCTGCCCCCGCCCCTTCCCCCTCGCGGCGCCGCCAGGAGACGCGGGGGCAACCTCCCCCGAGGCGCAACTTTACGAAGCGGGGCGCCTGGCCCGCCCGGTGTTTCGCAGATGTCTTCGAACGCTGTCTTCATGGCGAACCTAGTTATCTCTGTGGCGATTTGTCGTCGCAGCGCTTCGCGCAGGGCCGTCGCGATTTTGCGATGACCCGCGGCTCTGGCCAACGCTTTCGCCGTCGTCCATGCAGCTGACGGGGCGCGATCCAATGTCGCCGGGGTGAGCAAATCCGACGGGGCGGTTAGAAACAAAAGGACCCCTCCCCCCGCGAAGCCCCGCCCCCGCCCCCTCGCCCCCGGGGGGGAACCAGCGGGTCCAGAAACGCCCCCCTGCGGGAAAATTACTGGGGGCCCGGGCCCCCCCCCCCCGCAGCGGCGACGACGGCGACGACGTCGGCGACGGCGACGACGACGACGACGACGACGACGACGACGACGACAGCGACAGCGACGACGACGACGGCGACGACGATGATGTCAGCAGCGGCGGCGGCGCCCCCGTCGAAAGCGCTCGCGCCGGGCGCCAGTTCTGATTGACAGCTAGAAGGGTTCGGTCCAGTTCGCTCGGTTTCCTACCACCGCCCTACAGTGCTCTACGCCGTATTCCACGCTTCTCTACTCTGCACTTTTCTGCCCTCCCGAACTACTCTACTCTACTCTACTCTACTCGACTCGACTCTACTCGACTCCACTTCTGCTCTGCTCTGAACTGCTCTACTCCATGCTGCTCTTACTCGGATCTGCTCTATGTTCTATTCTACTACTCTACTCGTACTCCTGTACTCAACTCCAATCGACTCTGCCCCAGCTCAACCCTATTGGATCCGGCGATGGTGGAATAGTTGCACGTTCTGACCGGTGGGCCGGTAGACCGGCGGACTGGTGGAGCGGTGGACCGGTGGACAGGCGCACCAGCGCAGCAGCGCACTGGCGCACCAGCGGACCGGCGCACCGGCGGACCGGTGGACCGCGGTGGACTGGTGGACCGGTGGACCGGCGGGCGGACCGATGGACCGGTGGACCGGCGGACCGGCGGACCGGCGGACCGGCGGACCGGCGGACCAGTGGACCGGTGGACCGGTGGACCGGTGGACCAATGAACTGGTGAACTGGTGGACTGGCGGACCGGCGGACTGGCGGACCGGCGGACTGGCGGACCGGCGGACGGGTGGGCTGGCGGACCGGCGGACCCGCGGACCGCCATGCAGACCGGCGGACCGGTGGACCGGCGGACCGGCGGACAGGCGGACCGGTGGACCGGTGGACCGGTGGACGGGTGGACCGATGGACCGGTGGACCGGTGGAGCGGTGGACCGGTGGACCGGTGGACCGGTGGACCGGTGGACTGGTGGACCGGTGGGCCGGTGGACCGGCGAATGTTTTCCACCACTCTGATTGGATCCTCCTCAGCCCAACCGCGCCCTAACATGCTCCAGTTAATGTTGCTCCTACTCTACTTTCCCTCGTCTCTAATAAAATCCCGCACTACTCAACGCAACACCTCTCTCCTCTACTGTATTGGTGCTCCACTCTACCCATCGTTGCTCTCTACTCGGTAGCGTTTGCCCTGCGCTATACCAGACTCCACCCGGCCGTGTACCCCGCTGTCCTCTTACCCTACTCAACCCCGCGCACTATCGACTCATTTATACTCTACTCTACTCTGCCTCACTCTACTCGCCTCTAATCTACTCTGTCCTC